ATTACAATTAGGTTCTTCAGTCTTTCTTCAAATGTTAAAGCACTGTTATTATTTATTGAATTTAAAAGTAAACTAAACAGTAATTGAAGCATGTGCAAAAGGTTTGAGCACGTGTAACTACTTGTAAACACTTAGACTTCATTAAGTCATTAGTTTTTAATTGATTCATTAGGACGTTTTAGGCAGGTGAAGAACTGTCAACAGGAATTGCTGACAGTTCCAGAGCATAATAAATTCTCTGGCTCTTCAGAACTTGTGGTTACACTTTAACAACCATGGACTCCTTTAAGCAACTGACTGAGGATCTGAAAATGAAGCTAACTCATGCCTACGCAGCAGGGGAGGCTATAAAAAGATATCAAAGCACTTCCAGCATCAAATTTCTACTGTCTGAAATGTCGTTAAGAGGAAGTCAAAACAAGTTCTGGAAGACCAAGAAAAGTTTCAGATCAAACTGCACGTCTGCTGGACAGAAAAGACAGACCAAAACTTAGTATCACTGCAAAGGAGCTGCAGGAAGGCAGATACAGGGGATGGCGGTGCACGGTTCCACAAACTAGGTTTACATAGAACATCCTGACAATTGTTGAACATGAGGTTGGAAATAATAATCTTTGGGCTCGTGTAGCAGACAGTGACACAGGAAACATTGCACAAATGGAGGGAAGAATAGATTCCACTACATATCAGCAAATTCCAGATGCAAATGACCTGCAGGCAGTCAGGACTGACAATGAACGAAAGCATACCGCAAAGTCCAACATGAACTGCTTCAATTAATGCAAGCTGAAGTTTTTGGAACGACCCCCAGATCCCCCCTGACTTGAACATAATTGAAAATCTGTGGGTAGATCTTAAACATGCTGTGAGTGTAAGACAGCCTCAGAGCTGGAAGCGATCTGCAGGAAGAAAGGGTGAAAACAGAAAGATACTGGTTACAAAAAGCTATCTTTTAAGTTCATGAACATAAAATATGAAAAAATATCAGTGCATTAATATTTGAAAAAAAGGCTCATTTAATGTCCGTTTGCTGCAGGGTTTGTATTAACTTCTCACATCAGCAAAATGTGTAATTTTCCCACAGGGTGGTCAAACCTTTGCATACAACACCACACTAATACTGGGTAGTTCCTCCCTTTGCTCTCTCAACAGCTTCAGTTCTTCTTGGCATAGACGCTGGAAACTTTCCTCTGAGACACCACATCATTTCTGCAGATTTGTGTGTGTATGTGTTCTACTGGATTCAGATCTGGAGACTGGGGGGGGGCAACTGAAGTTCACTGAACTCACTTTTCACGATCATGAAACCAGTTTGAGACGACTTTAGACGACTTCATGGAGCGTGATCGTGCTGGAAGTCGCCATTAGAAGATGGTGAACTGTGGCCGTGAAGGGACGAACGTGGTCAGCAACAATGTTCAGAGACGCTGTGACATTCAAACCATGATTGATTGATATTAAGGCCCAAAGTGTGTCAAGAAAAAAAAACACTCCCCACACGATTACACCACCACCACCGGTAGACTGGTCTGTTGACACAACATGGATTCATGCTGTCGATGGCAAATTTTGACCCTACCATCTGCTGCGCAGTCAGTGCGTTCCTGGCCTAAGAACTCAATGCTCTGCCTTAACTAACGCTAAGCTCTGTATGAATAATGGAGGATAAATACTGGGTTTTAACAGGCTCAGGAAGCATGCAGCTTGTATCAGTTCTTTGTGAGATATTTACATGACAAACCAGCTCTGACACATTTAAATAAATCAAGAAATGCGGCATTGTGAAATAAAGTAAAATTCTAAAATGCAATGATGTCAAACCACTCGTTCTTTTAATAGCACACACTAAACCTAAACAGAGAAAAAAATATGTAAGGTATACTGTACTTCCACGAAAGCTGTTCAGTAGACTGGAATCCACAACAAGCATGTAGAGTTTATTAGTCAAATGAGCCACCTGGACTTGCTGATGAATACAGTCGGCCTAAATAATAAAATAAGCAGTTGCTGACCTGTCAGTGCTTGGAGGAAAGCAACTGCCTAGTCGCTGTTCTGAAGGTAGCGGCGCCTTGTTAAAATGCACTCCATCAAAGTTTCCTTTGAAGTAATAGCTGACAGAAAACATAATGTGAATTTGACTTGACAGCTCTCTGAAAAAATTGCTTGGGAAATATTGAACAAGACGGTGGAAGGAAGGAAGCGGGGTGAAGTGAGGTCTCACACCTCTTTTGCACATTCATCCAGCACACAGTGCATTTTAATTAGCAAGTTGTCCATGGCCTCTGTAAAAACTTAATAATTTAGAGTCTTTTTTTTTTATTAATTTCTTAAAGTTTATCTACGACAGCCATTGCTGTTTTGCACGTTTAAAAAACGAAAGGATTTCATTTCACTCTTCAAATATGAAGACAGTGCTCTTTGGATTGTATGGAAATGTAAATTTCTAACCTGCAGTATTGCCTCATCTCGCTCAGCAGAACAAGAATCCTTTTAAAAAGGTTTCTGGTTGTCTGCCATTTCATCACTGTTCTTGTCATTCCCTGTGCCACAGTAAATAATCAAGTGGGAGTGCTATGCAATAGCTTTCTTGCTGTGTAATTTATACAAGATAAAACTTTAAAACTCCCCTTGTGAAAACTGAGAATTGATTATGCAGTAAAGAATTTACTTGCTGTGTCTGAATGTTGAATGAGTTGAGCAGTGGCGGGAGCAATGCACTTTTCTTGCACTGAGACACAACAATACCACAATACACAAACAAATAATAACATCATTCTTCTAATTCTTATTGTTTTCAGATTGGTATCATGATTTTTTTTCTCTGATTTAAAACAGTTTATTATTCATTTAATTGATAGAAATTTTGAGGTGATAGATTTAAAGAAAATGTTACAAGAAAAATGTATAAAACCCTTAAAGTGGTGAGCTGCTCTCTCTGTGACGCATCTGCTGTGAGCCATGTTCAAATCTCCCCTGAGACTCTGTAGCTTTGTTCTGTCATTTGTTGATTTGACACAACTCAAGAGTTTCATGACAGCGTCACAGCGGCGCTCGATCTGATCCGTAAATTCATTAAAAAAACTTCTTCATTCAGCTCTTGAACTTATGGTGAAATCTTTCACTAGGACATCAGATCTCCCCTGAGAGGCTTCGCCTGTCTGTGTGTCTGTGACGCTCAGGCTGCTGCTGATCGGATTTTCAGAGTAAAATGACGCCTGACAAAACAAACCGTTGACAGACAAATCAGTTGGCCAAGCTGCGGCTAATTATCCTTATAAATAATATTCACGTCTTAATGAACCATATGCAGTAAGAGCTCTGCTCTTGATCCACTCATTAAAAGAGGGATGGAGGCATTAGTAGTAGTACTAAATATTTCTCCAACTAATTTCAAAGAAGAAACATGTTTGGATCGATTACAGAACTTTCTTATTAGCCGAGCCGAGCTGTTACTTACACTTTAGTTCTCCTTTAAAAAAGACCTGATATCTTAATTTGCTTTGGGAGGCATTTTCACCTCACAAATTATTGAGCACTTAACCACTGAAATTTAAATATAATGTCAGCTGATGCTAATTTTTGTCCAGTGAAGATGTTTTCAATTCTGTGACATTTGAAACCTTTGATACTGAACATTTTAGATTCACCACCACTCATCACCAATTCCACCACTGATACTGCAGCTGGTCGACAATGCATAATGCATTTTGAAGTTGAGGGTTGCCAGGTCATAGTTGAGTATCCCCCAAACCCCAGCCTCTCACTCCTTATCATAATAACCAACATTTTGCAGAAAACGCACAAATCTGTCAACCCAGAGTTGCTGCGTGGATCAAAACAGAGAGGTCAGTTTAGATGAGTAAGAATTTTGGTCGGGACAATTCAGCAACACCTTGACATTAGCAGGAACATGTCCCTCCTGTCCACCCACACATCTACGTCCACGCGTAGATGTTCCTGTTTGTCCCTCGTGAGTTTGCTTGTTTCTCTGGTGTGGAGAAGCAGGTTTGACTCCGCCCTAACCCCACAACTGGACCATGTGTCACATATGCATCGAGTCTTTTGATGCACTTTCTTCTGACACATGCAGCTCAGGTTTTATTTTAAAGGTGATGAAGTGGATGACTCCTTATTACTCCACTATGACTCCTCTCACATCTCTTCCAAGTTTAGTGCATTGGTGGCTAATAACAAGTCAGAACCCCCTCGTGTGCTGGCCCTCTGATCTTTCCCCACACGTTCTAATATAGCAAACTAAATAGACCTATAATACACTTCTGATATATTATCTATTCCAGTCCAGCTTGCTCTGATTACACTGCACACTGTGGCACTGTCAGCCAGAAACTAACTGTATTTGTATTATCAATTAATCTGAAATTCTTTTTTTCTATTTGATGAATCATAGAGTTTGCTTAGTTTATAAAATATCACAATGTCACAATTTCCACATAGAACTGCTTGTTTTGTCTGACCCAAACATTTTAGATTTACAGTTCTATAAGAGAAAAGCAACAAATCCTCACGTTTTAGAAGCTGAAAGCAGCCGTGCTTACTTGATAAAGGACTTAAAGGTTTAATAGATTATCATATTTATCAACTAATATTCTCTCCATCAACTTGTTGATTGACTAATTATGCCACTTCTCATGCACTTTGTTTCACCAGTGATTAAAGCCTGTGCGAGTGCTCCTTCTGACACAGCCTCATGCTGTTATTTAGGCTGATAACATGAGGAGTTTTACATGAAACAGCTGGCGTTGTGCAGCTTTACACACCAAGCTCAGTGCCCACACATGCCACACTAATGGGAACAGAAATTTGTCAGTTTGCATTCTGTGGCACAGATGTTATCAGGTCTGTTTACCTGTCCCATCTGGAATTAGTGTTAATGCGGCAGCTTCCCACTGTTGAGGCAGCTCTGAGAAAGTGTCCCTGAATGAAGCAAAAATGTGTAATTGCTCACATTTGTCATCTAAAAACACTTATTCCTCCCACAGTGCCCTCCAGGGTTGAGTCCTATGAAGGATGGGACCGGGTGCTACGACCACCACATTGGCATCGACTGCTCTGACGGTTTCAATGGAGGATGTGAGCAGCTGTGTCTCCAGCAGCTGGCCCCTCTAGAGGATGACCCAACGCTCTACAACATCCAGATGTTTTGTGGGTAAGGAAGAACAGATTCGCCACAATAATTCATAATTATTTCATTTCAGAACGCTGTCCTATTGAGTCCTTTCATCATTCATAACATCCAGTCATGTGAATTGTAAAAGAGATTTTCGATAATTATTATCAATCTTGATATAGATGGTTATGAATTATGTATTGGATTTATCAAAAGCGGCAAGTGAGGTACAAAACACTTGACAAGTCAAAATGTCCCTGTAACTGCAGCAGCTGACATGAAAGTGGGAACGGTGCCCTGCTTGTGTTTGGCTTTCAGAACACTGAGTCCTGTAAATTGAATGGCTGAGGGTCTCTGAAGCCGTCAGACCTTCCAACAGTAGATCTGATCATTAGCGTGATTTCAAGAACTAAACTGCTCTGCCAATAAATCCATCTGCTGATTGTGAAATGTTCAGGAAGCGATCTTATAATAAATCATCTGTGTAACTGATTTGATTGTATGCACTCATCAAGCAGTTTATTAGGAACACCTGTGCACCTGCTTATTCATGTACTAATCTAATCAGCCAATCGTGTGGCAGCGGTGCAATGCATAAAGATCAGGAGCTTCTGTTTTTGTTCACATCAAACGTCAGAATGCGCGACTCAGTGACTTTGACTGTGGTATGATTGTTAGTAACGAAGAAGGGCTGGTTTGAGTGTTTCTGAAACCGCTGATCTCCTGTGATGTTCAGGATTTTCACGGACAACAGTTACTACAGTTTTGCTCAGAAAAAGAAAGCACCTCCAGTGAAATCCGGTTCTGTGGACAGAAATGCCTTGTTGATGAGAGAAGTCAGAGGAGAAGGGCCAGACTAGTGGGAGCTGACAGGTAACATGGTTACTCAGATAACCTCTCTTTAAAACTGCAGTGAGCAAAAAAAAAAAAAAAAACGTATCTCAGAACAACACATCCAACCTTGAGGCAGATGGGCTGCAAAAGCTCATGAAAACTGCAGAAAAACATAACCTGGTCTGATGAATCTGGATTTCTGCTGAGGCAGCAGATGGTACGGTTCAGAATTTGCCATCAACAGCATGAACCCGTGGACCCAACCTGCCTTTCTGGGTGTGTGAGTTTTTCAGCCGAAGCAGTTGTTTTTGTCGACAAACAAACAAAGAATTTTACACATCATCTGCTATTTGCTCTGAATGCCTTTGTCATTCACTTCAAAAACTAATTTCTCATTACCAGTTCCCTTTAAGAACATCTGGTTGTGGCTCAGGAGGTAGAGTGGGGTGTCCACTAATCAAAAGGTTTGTTGTTCGATTCCTGGCTTTACTCACTAAATTCTGTAGAAATCAAAGTAGTAAATTTGCTGGGGTAGGGTGAAGTCAAGCCAAAACTGACCAACTAAACCAAACGGTGTCAGTTTCACACTGGTGAGGGCAAAGTAAACAGGCTGTTGGAGAGAAAGCATCCTTTAGGGAGTTGGTAGAGAAGGGAGAAATTGAGCAGTGGTTGGTGTTCCTGGTTGTAACTGACATGTATAATACCTGAGGGTAAAGTTTTTGAAAGAGGTGAGTGTTTGCGGGCAGCTGGCTGTTTTTCTTTATATCAGGTACCTGTATCTCCTTCATGGAGGATAACTGACAGTGAGTCGCAAACTCTGCAGTGTGGGCAACAAACCTGAAGATGTCCGTAGACTGAGATGATGTGGACGTGAAAGCGATCATGATGTTGTCAGACCAGGGTTGGTTGTAAAATAATGACCCTTAACAGCTGCCGGTGTCTGACAGGTGACTAGGTTCAGAGCAGTTGGTTCATATACTGTAGCTGTTGGGTTTCTTCTTGCACACGACGGCAGGTTATTCAAAAATCTGTAAAAGCTGAATCAAAGTTTATTTTCTTTGTACCTGAATACTCTTTGCGTAGTGTGCCTTGACAAGTGTAAAATCCTGAGAGCAACAATGAATTTAAAAATATGTACTGGCTGACAGTTTCAAAATGCCATCTCTTGTGCAAAAATATTGTTTTGTTGTTTTGTTTTTTTAAATGTAGAAAATGCATTTCACCTACTGCTTCAAGTTCATTCTTCAGGTTCAAAACTGAAAAATGTCACTGTTTTGTTGGGATGACATAATTACTGTGGAGTCACAGAAAAACTGAATGCAATCAGCAACCTCACCTTCTGGTAGATGATTATATACATATGAATAATTTACTCTCAAAAGTCTAGGCTGGCTTGAGTTTATGCCACAAGCTTTGGAAAAAAAATATAACATTAACTTAACTAACTAAACTAAACTTTGCCAGATGTCCACAGGATGCATATGAACTTGGCCCTAGCCACACTTTATTTGCTTGCATATGATTATAAATTTTGCAATCTATATTTTGCATTGCAAGGAAATATATCATTTAAAAATATCTCAACAAATAAAATTATAAAAGGTCTGTAAAAAGCATTGTGCTCAGGAATTCTTACAAGTTGTTTAATATGTTTCATGGAAATATAAGAATATGTGACCTCTTGGTACAGGTTTTAAGTTCAGTCTGTTTGACAGTACTGTTGGAGCAACCAATAAAAATACAGCACAGTAAATGTGGTTTTAGTGATTTGCATGTAAAATCAAATGTATAAACAACAGAAAACTGGCCTGGATTTTTTCAGCTAACATATAGCAGCTGTTTCATTATCACTTTGATATCTATATTCCAAAACATAGCACCTACTCATGTCCATACATTGTTTCTATATCTACATATACAGTACATATATATGCACATATATGCAAGATTATGAAAGATGAGATGAGATGCTACTGCAGTAATGAAGACTGTTGTACTTCCTCCTCTACACTCCAGCCAGAAGGAACCAGAAAACCTGAGAATATACTGTGACCAATAATTATTAATATTGCATATTCACAATGTATTATTGGTGACAATATATTCTGGGGATTTCTGGTGCACAGATGTATTTTTTAGCTGATAAAATAAATGTGCAAAATGCATTACATACAAATGATTAGCGCTAATCATGTGAATAAATATGTAAAGCATACTACAGCACGACTACTGCGTCAGTACAACGTGTAAAAATTTGTAAAATGTTACCATACATGGCCTTTTTCACAGGAGACATTTTGACTTGTCAGAGGAAGAGAAATACAGTTGATGCTAATAATGTTAACAATGACTCCTTTGTATTCGAGTGTCCCGTAAGCCATGACAGTGACAGCGAGCCAGCATACACAATAGACCTTTTTTTTTTCACAGCAGACGTTTTGACATATCATTGCAGGACAAACACAATAACATCAATTATGGCTGCATTCCATTTTGCGTTGCTGGTTTCAGGGCCCTGGTATTGTGCATGCTGGCTCACCGGCTTTGCTTGCTTGGACGATGAAATGGAACACAACCATCATCAATGTTATCAGTTACACCTGTGCTTTTTAGGCTATGCTGTGAAAAAAAAGGTCCATGCCAGGGAGCCTGAAACTGAGGTAGCTAAATGTAGCTCAGCCATCATTAATTGTGTATTTGTACTGAATGCGACATGTCAAAATGCCTCATATGAAAATTCCTGTTATTACAGGTTATGGTTAGAATATGCTCATGGAGAGCTGCCTCATACTCCCAAATCTAAAGCTAATACACAGCCATGGTTCAGCCCCACAGGTGTTTTCACTTGTGTTGATTGGAGCTCTACCTTCAATCTTAGCAGAGGTCTAATAAGACTGCACAACTGAAGATATACAGCTTGACTCGAAAGGGAGCCAAAGATAAGGGCTATTTTTTTTTTTTTTTACTGCTAACTGTACATTAAGTGGTGTTATCACCAGCATGCACAGCTCTGCACTGTGTGTGTGGAAACCTGCCAACGTCAACTATGTTTAAATTCTACAAGAAGTGAGAAATTATTGTGGTTATCTCCACTGCTACACACCACAACAAGCAGCTGTTTCTCGCTGTCATCTTTACATTAAACGTAATGCTGCAGGCACTGTATATTCCATGTCAAATTAGCATAAACAGGTGATACGAACTGCTGTTTAATTTAATTCTCGACAACGGAATTTTGTTGTTGTCACTTTCCATAGTGCAGATGTGGCTAAATCCTCCACTCTTCCCACCGGAGACTCGCATCAGCTTTGCAACATTTGGCATCCAGGAGAGCTTTTCTCACTGTAAATCCCTGACAGATTATCTGTCGCTCTTTAACCCCACCCCCCCACCCCTCCCACTCATCTCCTATTTTTCACTCTGCCTCATCTGCTTTTGGTTCATTTCATAGAGTAGGCTATATTATACACAAAGATGTCAAAACGGCATCGATGTGAAAGAGTCTTGAGAGGATGCTCAGTGTTTGGATTCTAGTTCTTTTTTTTTTTGAGGTGGAGGATTTAGTGGCAGTTGAGTAGAATTGATTTAGCTGTTTCTTCAGTTTTGAACTGCGATGTCTGAATTGTGTATAATATTTTGAACTCAGAAAAAATGATATACATGATATCTTGGAATACATTTAGAGGCTATAGGCTATAGATGAGCAGTGTGCTGGTAAATACGTGTGTTATCCATGTGTATCACATAGGAATGGTAATTAATGCTTAGTGTTGGGACTGAACAATATAAGGAAAAAAAATTGAGATTTAAACTGCAGTTATTTTCTCAAATTTAAAGTGTATTTGTGGTTTACATAGTGTTAAACATAAGTTTGAACTGAGCATCATCACAAATGAGTAATTTTTTCTACATGAATGGGATCAAATAGAATAATGCAGCTGTTGATATCCTGCAGAGATCTTTCTCTTTTTTTAAACCCATCAGTCAGAGATAAACATGAACTTCTACACAAACTTGTCTGTTTTTCCAAAGTCCAAATTTAGCAGTATATTATGGGCGGCTGTGGCTCATGAGATAGACCAGATCGTCTACAATTCGGAAGGTTCGTGGTTCAATTCCTGGCCCCTTCAGTCTGTATGTTGAAGTGTCCTTGGGCAAGATACTGAACCCCCCCCCCCCGATTTATCAATTGTGTGTGTGTGTGTGTGTGTGTGTACGCGTGATATAGAAGTGTTGTGTATATAGAGAAAGCACTGAGTGAGCGAATGTGGCTTGTAGTGTAAAGCGATTTGAATGTAACATTCAAAGTTGGTATTATATTTATTGATAACAGCTGCATAATAATTAAGCTGATGATGCCACCGAGTTGAATCGTACACATGCAGTACTCAGGTCTAACAGCAGGGAGAAGCAGCGAGTATTCTGCTGAGCAAGAGAAGAAGAAGAGTTCGACCAATCACAGCGCTGAGTTCAGACAAACGCGGTTAACTGACAAATTGTCAATCGTATCACGGAAACACAGCTCCTCCTTTTACAGCTCCTCATTCCGGCTGACTGCTTCCTCAGGTGCAGGTGAGGGTGGTGCGTTAACTGCTCTGCAAAGGTGAATGTTATGTGAGTTGAGTTAACCCAGACCAAACCCGGTAAACTATTCAACGTTGATAACGTTAGCCTAACGTTAGGTAATGTGTAAGCTAGCTAGCTGCCAGGCATTAAAGTTGGTAAAGTAACGTTACGTTATATTATCCGTGTGTTTCGCATTGTTCAACGTCACTTTTCATAGTATATTGCCACAGAAATAACAAACAAACAAACAAACAAAAAAAACAAACTACCTAGAAAGTTACCTGCAAGTGTGTGTGTGCGCGCGCACGCCTTGCATTTAACATAAACCTGAATATAGATGAGGAGGACAGTGAAGGGGAGCAACACAATATTTATTAGATAATTGAATGAAATTCACTTGCGTATATCCGTTTCTATAAGCACACCTATCATACAATAAAATATTAATCATGAAAACAATGGTTTTAAGCAGTTGTACTGAAACCTGCAAGTCAAAAACCAGGGTTCAGCCTCTTCTTCTAAACTGATGTTACATTGTCCACACATATCCATAAACAGCTGTCTGTCTCTGCATGTAAAGATGTCCTTTCTCTAGAGTTCCTCTCAATAATATATGCTTGTATGTTTTTCTTCATAGCCGATTCATATGTTGAATAACTTGATATGTTGGTGTATAGGGAAAGCATGTGAAGTAAGCGTTGCACTACCATGTTACTCAAACTTTTAACAGACCTGCCAACCTTTGGGAAATATTTTAAGAGTTTCAGAAAATACTGTTCATCAGCTGTTTCTTTTTTAAAATTTACACTCAAAAACTACTGAGCTGCGCCTCACAGCAAGAAGGTTCTGGGAAGGTCCAGCCCCCCTGACCCTAAAAGGATAAACTGTATGGCTAATAAATGAATGAACAACCGAGCTATTGGCTAGTCATCTATCTAAAACAGGTGCCAGTTACCGCCTAGATTGTTTATTTAGAAAACGATTCAGGTCCTTATTCTTTTAATTTTCTATCATCAAAATTTAACAGAGGGGTGTTGATTCATTTGATAAATAGTACAGATCTCCTCTAGTGAGAGTGAGCACCAAACAATATCAAAGTGTTTCCTTTATTTGTTTCGCCAACTTACTGATGTTGATGAAAGTTTATAAACCACTATTGATAGGAAGTTTTCTAGCTGATGAAATCATTGCTTGCCGGCTTAAACTGCCACTTGTCCCAGTCTTTTAAGACACAGTTCAAAAGTTTAATGTAAACTGTTTTGTGAGGAAGCAAATGCATTCACCATTTATTACACCTTTAACGTGCACACTGCATTTTGGTGAGTAACACATGTGAACTTTTGCTTGTTTACAAGAAAGGGGGCACCTATAAATAATCATTTGATGAAAGCGGATAAACAGATATTATAAATGTGCAGCATCACAACATTGGCTTTCACTTTTTAATAACTGAATTAAAAATCATCTTGAAGTATTAAAGAATTAAAAGAAAATGATCTCTCATTAGTTAGCACCGACACAGTTGTATAATCAGTGTCTGAGTCGACCAGTTGGAGCAGGAGCCACGCCCCCATAAAATGTGCAGGTCAGAGAAAGAATCGTATTGATCCTTGAATCTGCTGTATCATCCTCCATAATCATTTTAAACCTGCTCAAGAGAGCAACTCCCTTTCATATGATTGACTATTTAAATGACAGCTTAACAGTTTTGAAACTGGCTGGACAGCCAGCATCATCTCTCTAAACATTATAAACAAGATTAACTATTGTTTTGTTTTCTGTATACTAATTTTTTACTAATAAATACAATAAAGGGAATTCAGGTGCAAATGCAAGCGCAAAGAAAGAGAAACAAGCAAATTAACAGACAATGGATGAACAGTTAGTACAAAGTAAACTTATATCACAGTTCTCACAAAGGAAGAAAATATATGAATCAGTTAAATGACTAAAACTTTTATTGCTCCAGGTGCATCGAGGATTATAAGCGTGGTCCAGATGGGAGGTCATGCCTGCCGCTGTCTGAGGCCTGCACCGAGGGAATTGACTGTGGGGAAGCAGCGGATATCCCCGCTAACCAGACTGTGTTCGGAGACCTTTTCTATGGATACAACAACCACACCAAAGAGAGCACCTCCGGACAGATCCTCAAGGCCACATTCAGGTACACACAAGCTGTTTGTGACATGGAGCATGTGGGGATGTTGTTCTGCCATTTGTATCACAGCAGGGAAACCGTTTGGGCCTTTGGCTCCAGCAGTGGTGATGTCCCAAGAGGTTTGGATGAAGTAGTCAAAAGTTGAAGTTGGATGGTTTAAGAGTTACAGTTGAAAGCACAGGTAGAGAACTGATTTATATCTGGTATGAACATGTCAATCTGTATCTGTATCTCTGATAATATATGATAAGGAAAATATGTAAATCCACAAAGAAAATTAGTAATGGTGATGTAGTCCTTTTGTTATTTAATCTGAGTCAGGTGTAAATGCAGTGTGTACAGGTTGGCCCCTTTTTTAAGAGGACAATCCACCAATCACATTGAACAATCAACTTTGCAACTTCTTTCTAATCTGGCCTGGCAAATTTATAGATGACCCTCCCTTACCAAAAAAAAAAAAAAAAAAAGCAAGCAAATGGCCTGGACAGTGACCCAACATTTCATGTAGAGTTCATCTTTCATGAATTTATACACGCCAGGGTTGACCAATAGGGAGTTGTCTTAACAGTGTTGACCTTGGAGAGGACAGACAGCCAAAAAGTCCAAAACAGAGGAAACTCTCATAGCTGTGTGGCAATATTCACTTTCATTGAACCTCCACAAAAGAGCAATAAGCAGAATGTTATGAGACGGGTCTGTCTTTCAAATAAACTGTGTGAATTTAATGTCCAGTTAGCAACCAAGCTAAGCTAATGACTTTATTACCTTGGAGAGCTTTAACCTTTTTATGAATGAAACATCAGGCAAAAGTAAGTAGAGATAGTAGAAATGCTCGAACTCTCTGCTAACAGTTAGACCTGTGAGTCGTCACTATGTCGCTAAACTTCCAGCCTCAGCCTATTTTGCACAAGCAAATTTCATGATGAATACATGATGAGTATGAACAGGTGATGTCAGATCCTTAATGGGACAGATTGCTGTTCTGAGATCAGAGGTAAAAAAAAATATCGTTTTTACTTTAGAATCTTACGAATATATTTTTAGCTTTAATGGGTAAGCACTGCTTGCCTTGCCTGGCCTGACGGCACGCCACTGCTCAATTATGTGACAGACTTTCTTTCACTATCACTGCACGCAGTAATAAAAAAACTTTTTGATTAAGCACCTGCAGTGCTGTGTTTAAATCAGAATTAGTTCCCATAGCTTTTCTTGTTGGTCCAAAGTAATCCATTCCCTGGAAGTAATGATTTAAAAGTCATGGGAAAACATTCAACCCTTCTTCAATCAAATAAAATCACTGTTCTTTGTAATGGTTAAAGGAGGTTGTGTTGGGTGCATACTGCACCCGTGAGCACTTTCAGGAATCCTGATGAAAACAAATGACATATTTCTTTTCCAGAATACAGTAGCACTTTCTGTATTCCACAGTTATCGAGAGTGTTGGTACAAATAAACAAGACAACAGGAGCTTATTTGTCCTATATTTATTGAAAAGCCAGTACACAAGCAGCAAAGTATTCAAAATGACTTCCATGGGGACGCCTGCTTTCTCACATTTAATTTCACTCCCATTCAGGCAGTTACTGTTTGGTGTATTGGACTCTACCCAAGTCCCTTATAGAATACTAAAGTTATTGTTGATAGAAGAGTTGGTCTCCTAAGAGCAACTGGATATATCACAACCTTTCAGATTCTTTAAGGTTGGAATCGGGTTTAAATGACACGATAGAAACAGTTGCAGTGAATACATGATCGGGAGGTAGATGTGTTTCCACAGGTTGTAAGCATATTGGAATTAGAAAATATATTTGAAGGTTCTTTCATGATGGCAGGGAATTTTATGTTAGATTTTTTATATCAATTCCCTCCCAATCAAAAAGATAACGGTGATAGTAAAGCGTGCCACTGTCAGGGATTGTCCTCTATAAAACACAGACATTCCTCCTAATCTCAGGCAAATACTCTGGGGAGAAAATGGCCGTCACCTCTCCTGAGAGACTTGTAGATATAAAGCCACGGGTTCAAAGAGATGCTGTGTTCCTTTCATAATTTCTACAGGGTTTGATGTGGATAGTAGAATACTTTGAAGGTGGTTAATTATCACTGTCCACATGCTGCAATCATTTCCACTGAACTCAGGAAGCCAGAAGGTCAGCAAAGTCCTCTGTGGCCCAGGAATTTAATTTGGGCCATGCATGGATTCCGCTGCCCGGAGGCAAGTCACCCACTCAGGGATCCACCACTGGAGTTGTAGAGAGGGAGGTAAGGGTGAAGCGGGAAAGTTAACATCATCAAGAATCTAAATCTCAAATGCTCTGATCTCATTTGAAAGTGCTTGTGAATGGAGAGCGGGGTCTGAGGCAGACTTTGAAGAGTACCAAATGCTTCCTGTGCAGATGAGGTGGTGGAAGAGGAAGGCAGACTCTTTTGGGAGGCATGGTTAATGCGAGGCCTAATTATAAGAGATGGCAGCAAATGAATTAAAACTGACCAGAAGCCCATGTGCTGAAATTAAACCTAATTGGACCAGATGAACATTTGAATGTAAAATGAACAAAACTTACGGGAGGAGAGCATCGGAATTGAATACTGGAGATCCGTGAGGGGTTTGAAGTCAGTGCAGCACTCAATTTAGATCAGGAGACTTACTGCAAAACCAGGAAACAATGAAATATGTCCCCAAGAAAACTAAATGTCATAGTTAATGTTGCAGAGCGAGAATGACTGTGCTCCTGGTCAGTATCAAATGGGTGCTGACATGAGGTCCCTGTTGCACTGCTGTATTTTAAAGATAGAAGACCATGTTGCAATAATCTAGAAAATGTTGCATGTTGAGTGGAGTTACTGTTAAAGGGCCACTCCAGAGATTGTAGATATGAATTTACTCATCATAAGCAGGATCAAAAGTTATATCATTTTTTCTGTGGAAGTTTTTTCAAGTCGAGAGAAAATGATTCGAGTGACATCACTTGAATAATCTTTAGAAACAAGACTTGTTTGACTGCATTACAAACTAAGTGCCATTCACCAGGCAGCAAGTTCAAAAGACACAGTGAAGGTGCATTATTTGGTCAGGTTTGTCAAATCTAAATCCAGTATCAATTTGACTGGAATTTCTAGGGGATACCAAAGAATTTCATCTACTGTTGGTTTAGCTTTCACCATTTGCAGGTAGAGCTGCAATCATTAGTCGATTAGTTGATTGACAGAAAATTAATCAGTAACTACTTTGATAGTCAGTCGTTCAGTCTGTTGTTGGACTGCTGGTGAGACAAAAGAAGACATCACCTTGGCATATAGGAAATTATGATAAATGTTTTCTGGTGGTGTAGAGACCAAACCATCAATCAACAGATCAATCAATTCCCAAAATAAAAGTTAGTTTCAGCTTCATTTGCGTCTAAATAATTGCAACATGAAAGTGAAACGAATAGAATAAAAGATGAAATGTTGATTACATTATTAGACACATTGATTTGTTTTGTTTTTTTCATTCTACTGAAAACATATTGACTTCTTCACTGTAATTTTCAGAACCTCTTGCAATTGTTGGAAGGCCTGATTCCTGACTATTAACTTTACAAGTCAAAATATTATAAAACATGCATAACTGGGTCATATGACAACAGTAACTGATGAGATCAGCTCATGGATGGATTAGAGAACGCATTAATCAAACAACAGCAAAGTTATTAGCTACAGCTCATATAATCTGATGCTGGTAATTTCACTTTAACAGGGTAAAAGTGATGGTCAGCATTGACTGAAAGTAAGAAGCCTGCTAACATGACCTGCGTGTTTGGTGCATTGCTCATTGTTAATAAAAAGAGTTTAATTAGAGAATTGTTAGTACCAGAGATTGGGTTATTTTGCAAAATGTGAATTGGAGCCTAAATGGAAGTAGCTGTCAGAACCCAGCCTTAATTATGGGAAATGTAGGATGTAGGAGTTTTTGGAGTTTGACCCATACAAGGGTGTAGAACATCAGGGCTTTTGCTGCATTGACAATGACCATTTCTCTTGTGAAATGCATCAACTAAAATGCTGGAGTACTCTTCAAATAGAAACAGCAGGTGGGAAGTGTTCTTTCCTTTTATTCAAATAAGAAGTCACACAGTAGATTCACTGGCTTAAATGTTCCTTTGAAAAATAACTGAAGCTTTGAAATGCTGGCCTTAAAGTCTGGACTCTTCATCACTCCCTGCTCTCCTGCTAGACAGTAACACCGAGGACCAAGGAGTGTGCAGCTAACTGAGACTGTCCTAAATTACCTTTAGTCGGAAAATTTGGTTATTCTCACAGCTACTTGAGGCTGCTATTGACTTGACTCAGTGGTAACTAAAATATACAAGCGAAACAGCACTGTGACCCGTGTCCTCCCATAACCCAGTTGGATCTACTCTTTACCCTTGAGAGAAGGCAGCAACAGCAGCAGAGACAGAGGGAGGGGTAGTAAAGAAGCCTTTATGTGGTGCTCACTGGCACTTCTTCAAAAGCTTCCACCCCAGTGCTTGGGAGTGGCACAAAGCATCTGTCTCCATCATTCCGTGAAAATAAGTCAAATTTTAATATTGGTTAATCATCAGTGGAGGTTTGTTTTTCACACTCCAAGCACATTGCATAATCATTGCTTTTTAAATTCTGTTTCCTGCAACAGCACCATTATGTAGTTTTATTTTTTTTTTTCTTTTCCTTTATCAACTTATTTGTTACTTCTTCCTTTTATTCTCTTCATCATGCTGCTTCACACAGAATCCGCCACTCATCCACAGAAAATCAAAACAGTGTAAACAATCCCTCCAGGGGAAAGTTTTGACTGCTAATGTTTTATTTATTGGGGAAAAAAGGCCTGTGTTGGTGGGGGGGTGGGTGGACCTGCTCTGTCGCCCCTGCAAGGCTTTTCTATTTCGACTGTCTAGAGGAACAGCAGGAAGAGGGGGAATAAAGAGAAAGCAGCAAGTGGTGTGAGCAGGTGCCCAGTGGCATAACATGCACACACACGTAGA